GAACGAAGTGGGGCAAGTCGCGAAAGGACCGATAACCGGAACTATTTATTAGAGCCCCATGGCGATACGCGCTCGCGACGCACCAGTCGTGGGGCCTTTTATGCGATTATAAAGCGCGCTTTATATACGTTTCCATGCGACCCGGCTCTAATAAACTCTATATATCTTATTCCGAGACAGGCAGCGTGAGGCAACGCGGTGGCGCGCAAACACCGGAATTTCTTTTTCGAGACCGTGACACGCGCGAGCGTAATCGCGGCGAGCGCGGCCGATCGTGCGCCAGGTAAAAAGTGCGTATTCCTGATACTCGCCTACGTCGAGAGCCGGCTAATATACGAGCTCTGTTGAAGATCGCTCTGTGGGAGTATAACCGCGTTCTGGAATTATCTAACGGAATAATTTCTTTTTATTTCGCTTACGATGAGTTGGTAGAATATAGAGGATTTAATCTTGGAATTTTTAAACGGATACGCTTGAATCTTTATATATATATATAGAAGAGGATGATGGCGCGTTTTGCGAGGAGCGAAACTCGTTAAAAAAGTACAAGAATGTATAAGCGTATTGAAAGTAAAGTGGTTGTCACGATGAAATATACGAGGTTTCTATCGCTTGATCACTCGTTTCGAAGTGTATGGGAAGAACTCAACCTTAAGTTGACTTACCGAGAGACATTTAGAATGAATCACTGGGCATACATGAATAATGGATCGGTCATGTGTGCTGGTTTCTTCATCAAATCAGAAGCAAATGATAAATTCACGTTATTTATATATCACCGATCCAAAGATAACTAAAAATAACGTTTCCCATACGCGTAGGAAAATCTTTTAAACCGTTCGATTTTCCTTTTTAAGGGTACGAATATATATCTCTCAGATTGACTAATATCTATCACGAGGTAGAGTAATAATTGTCGGATTAAATATTGTAGAAACTCGCGATTCCTCCGGGTAAGATTTCAGAACTTTCTTATGACTTTCTAACAACTTTGTAACAAGTCTAAGTGGCCCCGTAACGACTCTCTTCTCTCGATCAAGTATTCTCAACAACCTTACACGTACAACAAAACGCACGATTTTATCACTGCACATATCCTCAACTTTGCCGGTTTAACACAAAATATTCTATCCACTTGCATCTTCTTTCTTCGATCACTCAATATTTTCGCTGATTTTCATTCGCTCACTTCTCATGCCAATTTTAAAACTTTCAACCGATCCATTATCAACGTATACATATAAATAAACTCGACAATATCTCGACCAATATACGATTCATCCACTTCTTATGACAAAAGGAGATATCTAGATATCTTCTCACGCCGAATTTAAGCCGAAACAAGGAAAGACACGGCTATCCTTTCACACCTCGTCTTCTGTATTTCCATCACGGAGAACCTTCGACTCGGGAACAGGATACGACAACGATTGATGCACGCTATTCAACATCGCGAGAAAACAAACACGTATTCGTGTTACCGGGCCCAGAACCGCAGAGAAGAACCAAAGAGAGAAAGAGGGTAAAAAGAACGCTACGAGCTATAGAGTTCCGGGCCAATGTGCGGTGAGCTCCTTTTCAACTTCGAACGACGAACCTCCCTCCTCCTCCTCCTCCCCCTCCTTACCCTCCTTTCCTCGTCCAGTCGAACGGGTTCAAGTCGAAGCGAAGGTGAAACCCGAGGAGAGTTCACCAGCTTACGAAGGAAGTGGTTCGGGTATTGGGATCCACTTTAAAGTTGACACCTCGCGCGTTGGCCCGTTTTCTCTCCTCGTTAAGGGTTGGAGGGGGGGAAGCGCGGTCAGGCCCCGACGAAATACCGGTTGCGTGTTCCGGTGTGCGATTACGATGGCCGTCTGCATCCTGATCACGCGACATCGCGCGCGCCTCCTTCTTTCTTCGATCCTTCGTGAAACACTAGCCCGAGGATAAACGGAGGAGGGCGTGAAAGAGCACCGAGGACACCGGGGGAATCTAGGGAAGCGTTAACGCGAGATTACGAGAATCACGCTTCTTCTTCTGGAGAATGAAAGAGGATGATTTTCTCGTTGATTGCTGACGATGGGTTAAAATAGATTAGGGGAGAATATTATTTTCAATCATTTCCTTCTCCTAGTATCTTGATTGGCAGTACTACAGTTTCTCGAGATATTTGTGAGGAATGGTTACGAATATAGTTATTTGACACAATAAATCAAGAAACCTCCATTAATATATCTCAATCTTTGGATAAGATCAAGGATCACGATCTTCATTTCCTAACTCCAACATTTCGAGAAACAATTAAATTCCATTTCTGTGAAAACCGCGAAAAGTATCGAAAAGTAATCGGGTAAATAAACCCTCGAACAACCGTTCTTAAAATACCCCCGCCACGAGCATAAATCCAGAAACATTTTCCGGCAATCGCGGCTCCATCGCCGTGACATTTCCACCCCGGGTGAGAACGCGTCACTGGCCGAGCGAGCAAGCGCACAACTACCGGCATTTCCA